ATGGCAAATCTGCGGGGATTTGAAAGTCGTAGCTCTGCTGCTCGGACTACAATTAGGCTACACGAAATTTTGTTGCTTCATTTGCGAATGGGATAGTCGTGATAGAAAAGAGCATTATAAAAAAAAGTTGTGGCCCCATCGTCAGACACTTCAACCTGGACAAAAAAATGTTAAAAATGACCCTTTAGTTAACCCACAAAATGTTTTACTTCCGCCATTGCATATTAAACTAGGACTGATGAAAAATTTCGTAAAAGCAATGAACAAAAATGGAGCTGCTTTTCAATATCTTCGCCAGAAATTTCCAAGATTAAGTGACGCTAAGGTCAAGGAAGGAATATTTGTAGGTCCTCAAATAAGAAATTTATTTAAAGATGATAACTTCGACTCGGTTCTAGAAGGTAAAGAAAAAAAAGCCTGGGATGATTTTCGCCTTGTTGCAAAAAACTTCTTAGGAAATAAAAGGAGTGACAACTATGCTGAACTTATAGAAAATATGTTATCATCATTCCAAAAACTGGGTTGCAACATGTCCTTGAAAATCCACTTTTTACATTCGCATTTGGATTTCTTTCCGGATAATTGTGGGGCTTTAAGCGATGAACATGGGGAGCGCTTTCATCAGGATATTGCCAACATGGAAAAGCGATATCAAGGCCATTGGAACGTTTCAATGTTGGCGGATTATTGCTGGACTGTTTGTCGAGATATTCCAGAAGCAGAATATAAGAGGGCAGCGAAGAGACCACGTCGAAATTCCACTTATGATTAAAAAAACTGTATAATTTCTGTAAATTTTTTCAAAAATCGTCTTATTTTTTTTTCTAAATAAGGGAAACTAATTTTAATGTTTATTAATTATTTTTGTGTTTAGTACGTGGAAATCAATAAAAAAATCTACTTTCCATGAACAATACTTTTTTAAAGTCAAAATTTGTAGACCAGTGTAATTAAGTATACTCTGTTATGTCCATGGTACTGCTCAAGTCTATAAGCAACGGTTACCACTTTTCATCAGGTGGGCCGTCAGCTTGTTTGCCATTCTGAGTTGTATAAAAAAAACCTTTACATGCCCCCCCCCCCCCACATTGGAAACCATCATGCTGAATTGTAGGTGTATTCATCACGATGGGCTAACTGATCTGCCTTTTTATTGTCACCTGACATCTCTCACTGGTTCTCCGCCGGTGTATACCGATAGCGCAGGCGGGGTTACCATTCCATAATCACCCATTAAAAAACATCTGCTCTATAACGAATGCCAGTGCAGTTTAACTTATTTAAGTGACAATCACCTTCGTCCTTCTGTGCAACATAAAAGCTCTCACAAACATCAGTTGACAGGATCAATTTCAAAATTAAATTTTTATTAATTTCTTGTTTTTTCATTAGCAACAGCGCGATACACTCGAGGCGTAATTGTCCCTGTTTTTAATTAATTAAAAATATATTAATTATAACACTTTGTAAATGGTCAATGTTAATGGCGTATCCATTAACTTGGTTTCGTAAACACTGCCATATTCGATGCTCGGATAACGCTGATAAATAGTATAAACAAGTCTTATTGAATAAACACGATATTATATTGTGCTTTAAAACTTATCACTTTAATGCACTATTCTTTAATTATCAACCTATCACATGTATGTAAATTATCTCTAGTAAATAATCTGTTCTCACAAAACAACGATATAATGTGACATTGACTAACATTATTATTATTATACATAAATAAAAATGTCGCCGTGTAGTCCCGGCATAGAATAGGCCACCCCTATTTTTCCCGTGGGTGTCGTAAGAGTCGACTAAGGGAGGGCGAGGGATGGACAGCAGCGTTCTTCTTAACATCTTCAAAGCCGAACTGCGGTTGCCAATCCGCCTGCCAAGCATGGCAACTACTGGCAAAACCCCCATGGGAAAGGATTATGTTCAGCAAAGAACAGTTAAAGGCTGATACGATGATATTTGTCTGATTAAATTTTAATAATTCAGTAGTTTACGAGTAGTTTATAGATCAGAATAACTGGTTTTGTTACAGTTAAAAAAGAAGTGTTCCATGAAAAAAACCGACTTAATCAAATGATTAAGTCGGTTATTTAACCATATTGAGAGTCTTCTTTTTGAAGTCGGTTGAGAATACTTGTTAGTGTGGGAGGCTCTAAATTTTTTATTGTTTTTCGGCTCATGTATCTTCGATGAAAATGTTGAATTTCGCTATTAGAATATTGCACTTAAAGATGCTAACGAATTCAATATCAATTGTGTATTAACATACATACTTTTATTTTTATTTTGGTTATGTTTGTTTTCACATAGAAGCAATACTTCGCAACAAATAGGTTTTGCTCCAAAAAGAAAAACGACAGCTTCAACAATCACGAAATATATATGTTACCAAATCAAACTCAAAAAAGAATTATCAAAATCACTTTAGAATTGGCAACGCAATCGCGTAACATACAAAAAATGCAGAAAACAAAACATACAAACATATATATATCTACATTAACCATAAAAATATAGAAGAAATTAGACACCGAAAATTTTACACGTGCACGTGAGATTTGAAAAGGCCTTGATCGTCAAAAAAAAAAAATGACAAACGCGACCGTAATTCACGTAACATGTAGTTTATGGCTCACGAAAGGAGAAATACAAATATAACCTTATCAAGCGGCGGTCACGATACCGAACTTGACATTACCAAAAATTGCTAAATTAATGCCGCAAAACCGGTCGCAGAATAAACCCGGAATAATAATGAACGCGCAACGAATAAAGAATAATCGCACGCAAATACAAGTCCATTAGAATTAGATCAAAGTAATTTTAACGAAGCTCATAATAATTTTTTTTTTGTACAAAGCTTTGAAATAAATATTTATTTTGTAGCTTTTATTTGTGCGTGACCAGGATATTTTGGATGCCCGGGTAAATTTTGTTGGCCTATGACCTCTATCCCAAATAATACGTGTACACAAAATTTTATTATGATTGGTTTAGCCATTAAAGCGGTTACAAACAAAACAAACTCTTTTCAATCTCAGACCATCTTGGTATTTTTCTATATCAAAGGGTTTAAACTGGTTTAAAGGACAATGTATCAGCCGGTAAAAAGTTATAATTCACAACTTAATGCAATTTCACGCCCATGCCTTCAACTCGGACATCAAACGTTGAAACGGTTGGTTGGTAATCGGTTACTTTCTTCCCTCGGTAAACAATGAACTTAACTTACTTCTAAAATTAAACTTTACAAAGGGTCCTTTTCAATCCTTGCAGTCACTCGAGGTACCAGGCGAGCAGAAATACGTAGACGTTCTAAGTGGCTTACCGACCGCTATTTATACGTACAAACGTGCAACTCTACCACATAAGGCCAAATAAAATACATGACGTAATTTTCAATGCTGTGTGCGGTACGGTGCATGCCCGCAGCGGGCGGAGCGGTGACCGGTTGTGCAAATGTGCACGTAGCCGGTTGCAGAAAGCAACTCGAATTTATGCACTCCTAGTAGCGTAAATGAACAGTGCAGGGGCGATGAAATGACGCAAATGAAACAGTAATAATGTTGTCATTGTCATTACAAGTATCAGGTACATAAATACATATTGTTATAATTGTAATGTTGTTTATTTTACGTCGAAGCAGAAACAATAAAATATGCATTTTATTGCAAACCGTACAATTGTATACAGTTGATAACTTAATTAAATATAATTAATTTGAACATCTCCATTATCCTGGTCATGTGTTCATAATGAGATTAATTGCAGGCTTATTTTACTCATTTATTTCGTCAACAGTTTCCCAATACGTTCACTAAGGAAAGCATCAGTACAGTAACATATATTTATTTATTTATTTCATCAACTGGATGAGCTTTACAGTCACCAAATATGCTCCCAATATGTATAATTTAATAGAATAATACTAATTAGATTAATTAACCTTTATACAAAAGGTATACGTCGTGTGGTCCCGGCATAAAGTGAGCCATCCCTTCCTTTCCCGTGGGTGTCGTAAGAGGCGACTAAGCTTATGGTCGAAAGATAAGCAGCAGCTTCCATCTTACAACACCACTAAAAGCTTAAGTGAGGTTATCAGTCTGCCTGCCAAGCGTGACAATTGCTGGCAAAACCACCCAATTGGGGGAGGCCTACGTTCAGCAGTGATCAGTTAACGGCTGATACGATAATGACAAAAGGTATGGAACGTAAAAATTACTAATAACTAAAACAAAAAACAAACGATTAATTAACATTCATATTCACGTTTTAAATTCGGCAATTTTATATGCGACTGTCGAAAAGTACATTTATGTAGTGTATGTATGGCAAGTATGAAGCTATGGTGTATAAAGGTGTACCATAAATAATTTCACAAATTTTTATAAAAATATATATATATATATATATATATATATATATATATATATATATATATATATATATATATATATATATATATATATATATATATATATATATATATATATATATATATATATATATATATCGCGGAAATCATAAACACTTTTTAAGTTCAATGACGAATAACGAACAATAATAATTTTTCACGCGCCATTTTGTTCCTTTGTTTTTTTTTTTTTAATAAACTGCTTTCTATTTGCAAGCCAGAATGAAATATAAATAAAACCTTTTATTAGTTACCTCCTTGGTAGCCATGTTTCGAAGTCATTCCATTTTTAAATTACAGGACAGATATGAGTTTACATAATAATTTATCTGGCCACAAAACACGACAGATATGGATTTTCATACAACTTTTGCCGGCCGCTGCCCGCATGTATCTGGCCAGTACGGCAATTTTGATTTATCTCTAAGAAGATTGTCAAAATAATGCTCACATTTCCAAGCATGTTTGAGAAAAAACTATTATTGGTATTACTTATATACAACGTATTTATTTAATTTTCTCATATAACGCTATTAACTTTCTACTCATATAGGGGAGAGTGGGAGAATTGAGAACGGCGGGTAATTGGGAACAGCTAGGTAAATAATACTTCCCCCCACTTTACACCGTCCCGCGCTTATTCAACAGACGCATCCAGCGCCCCTAAGTGTACACCAAATAGTAAGAGTGAAAGGCCACATGTACCCTGTCACGGTAAGTCGAACAATGTTTTTTGCATTTCTTTTATAATTTTTGTCGTGTCTTATAATAGGTGTAACTATCATATTTTTGAATTCAAAGGCACTATATTTTGTTATTATCATGCATGTACTATCTGCTTCCAAACCCTACGTGATTGAAGGTTATCAAAAATACTATTGAGGATGACGGCCATTTTGATATATATTGACTACCTTGGGCAATTGGGAATGGCATCAGGCGGGTAATTGGGAACGTTTTCAATGACCTCTCGCGTTCTCAGTTTACCCCTAGTGCTGCTGGTTAATTATGTAAAAATGTTTTAACTTTAAAAATTGTTTTAGATGTCTCGAAACTATACACGAAAGCCTGAATCGAAATACAAAATTGAAGACCTTCGCCATGCAGTTGAAGATGTTAGAAATAAGAAGCTCACATTAGGCCAAGCTGCTACCAAATATTCAATACCAAAATCAACACTATTCAAACAATTAAAACAAAACAAAGTCAAGACACTAAAAAAAGGTCGATCTGCTGTATTTAATAGAGAACAAGAAGACCAGCTAGAAAAATATATACTTGATTGCTGCAAGACTTTTTATGGAATAACACCAAGTTCATTACGTAGAATTGCTTTTCGATTTGCTGAAGCTAATAAGCTGAAACACAATTTTAACAAAGAAACCCAGCTGGCAGGGAAAGACTGGTACTATGGCTTCATATCTCGACATCCTTCCATCAGTTTACGGATACCAGAAGCTACTTCACTTAATAGAATAACGGCTTTAAACGTCACCGAAGTGAATCTGTTTTTTGATCAACTAAAAATTATCCAAACAAAACACAATGTAATGTAAAATGTAAACTGTGCCTCTTGCCGAAATCATTAATGTGCCTATCATTCCTAAAACAAAAACCACTTCTGTGCGACAGAATAAGAGACATTCTCAAATTTTATCCAGCTCACCGATAAAAATTGAACTTGCGGGAAAGCAGAAAAAAACAAAATGAGAGAAAAGCCAAAAAAGAAAAAGTTCCGAATAAAACACTAAAAAAGAACATTAAAACCATAAAAAAAAATCCAAGGCAATCCAATCCAAAAATCAAGGGTAAAGGAGGGAAAAATTTAAAAAAGAAAAATAAGTTCGAAGAAGAGTTTTATTGTATAATGTGCAACGAAAAATATGAATCTCCGCCGACAGAGGATTGGATTATGTGCGTCATCTGTAAACTCTGGGCACATGAAAAATCTACTGCTGGCGAGACTAGTCTAGGGTACGTGTGTGATATGTGCCAACCAAAAAAACTATAGTTTATTATAAAGATTTAATTGTGTCGTTTCTAATTACCCCATACCGTTCCCATTTACCCCTCGGGATGATCTCAATTACCCCATAGGGTATCGGGTAAAAAGAAACGACAACGTTTTTTGTTTTCGTTATAATTTCTAATGAAACATTGATTCTTGAGAGTTTTTCTGTAACTGATAAGTAGATAGATAAGTAAAGTTTATATTCTAATAAAAGTTGCTATATCTAAGACTTTTTTCTATTATTTTTGGACGTTGGAAGTTAAGTGTTCCCAATTCCCCCACTTTCCCCTATTGTAAAAACTATAGTGCCTACGTTTGATCAGAGTTGCGTTTTTTAAACCATCAAATAAAACAAGTGAACGCCTTCACTAATTGTTAACACCTTTCTGACCCTCTTCCAATTATTTTAAGATCGGCAGATATAATTTCCTTTTTCATTCATCTATCTCTATTTGCAACCATTTTACCACGCCTTTTCTGGCCATATCATCATTCGTCTTTCTCTTATAACCATTTACACTTAATACTTTTCTTAAAACATTTTTTTTAATATTTTCAATAAGGGAGGGGAGGGGGGATTGTTAGTAATGTGGACTACCGTTGCTAACAATATACCCAATCAGGTCAACCTCCACGTGGTCCCCCCTGGACACCATCGTGCTGAATTCCATTTCATGCTCACCTATCATCTCTCACTGATGCCTCGCCAGCGTATACCGATAGCGCGGGCGAGGTTACCATTGCATTATCATCCATTAAAAAAAAAATTTCAATAAAGATTAGACCATCAATCAGGTATAGTCTCCGCATCAAGGCATAGTAATACAAGTAACACAGCAGTTTATATTTCATAGTTGATTTGCGGTTTGCCTATTTCAGTCCCGGTTTGCGGTTTGCGAAATTTCTTATTGTTTTTGGAGAGACAAACAAAGGCTTCCTTTGTGTTTTGAACGAAACGAAGCGTGGATTTAAATGAATCTCTGCGGTTAATAGAGACTCGTACTATACATTTTATGGTTCCGTGGTCAATTTGACTAAAAAATTATAATTTCGTCGTATCTGACTGGCTAGTCTTCCATTTATATGAAATGAAATTTTTTTATTCGTAAAAACAAATATAGTTTGTTAAGTTACAGTACCAATATTAATATTATAATTTTAAATGGGTACAGTAGTTTTGGTTTTAGAACTGGGCTCCTAAATAAGTTAATAATAACCTGTCTATATATATAACATCGCTAACTCAAGACTTTTAGGAAAATTACATATAAACAATAACAAAAAGTATATACTCGGATAGCTGATTTTTTGTAACAGAACTGTTCAAAATTAAAATATTTTCATGATATTTTTTTATCATTGGGTCTAAACAGATTACATCGTTACATCGCTCTTATATATCGTAGAACTGTTCTGGAGTGGAGACCATGAATCTGCAAGTGGTGTGTGGGACAAATTGCGACTAGGTGAAACGACGACATACGGAAGGATGCCGGTAATAATTGACAGCGATGAGCCGAAGATCTCATCGAAGATGCTAAATGGCGTGTCTTGGGAGAGATCTATGTCCAGTAGTGGACCGCATAAGGCTGACTGCGACAATAATGATGACACAATATGATACTAGGTCATTATGGTCATGCTGAAAACGTTTACACCAAACAAATTTATCAACAACGTCATTGTATAAAGACGGCAAAAGACCAATCATGTAAAGAATACCTCGCAGTCTTGATGTTCTCAAATTACTATAATCTATTTCACATTACTCTTTAGGTATACGTTACGAGTGACGTCAGCGGAGTCCTTCACGGTGTCGGTGCGTCTGGTTTATCTTGTAATACGTGTTCAGGTGACCGTCACAAAGCCTGTTAGGACGACTGCTGTCACACCGGGCCGTAACTTGAACTTTAACCTCGTTAAGGAAATGAATGGAACAATATAACGGTATTGTGTCAATCCATTGATGTTTCACGTGTGCCAATTTTTGAGTGCCTTTTATTGTAATTAAATTCTATTCTTTTGTTGTTGAGTCACGTTTATTTTCGTACTAGTAGACGCCCTAAATTTTTTTATCCCTACCGCCATTTTTTATCTTTTTATATTTGTTACCTCGTAACTCTGTCAGTTGTAAACTGATTTGGAAAAATATTGTTCTATCACAAAGGATATGCAGATTGGTCTAATAGAAATTTTATCAAAATATTATTTTATATAAAAATGACTAAATCACTAATTTTCAATAAAAATTACTGATTTAGCCCCAATTGAAGTCGGTTTTTTTTGTGGAAAACAATTTAATTATTTCCTTTCAAATCGAAACACAGTGATGCAAACACTGCTTAAAGGCAGAAATACAAATGGGACAGTGATACCCAAGCAGACAGCTTATTCTTCAGAATACTATGACTAATGATATATGAACTAGTCTGAAATTGAATGTACAGGCCTTAATTCAAATTCATTATCATCATTATTCAAATATACCTCACTATTAATTACAATCACTATTTAATATAATTTTATTATAAATGCAGGTATCAGAAAGTTGTTATCTGCTGAAAAGAAACCGCAAGAAACTCAAGAGTTACTCTTTTAAGTCTCTATTAACATTATGTGTTTTATTTATATGTAAAATTACATGGTCATTAAAAAGCCTGTGCGTGACCAACTAAAACCATGCACATTTGTCAATTAAAATCATATGTATCCTTTTACGTTCTACCAGTGAAACTATTTTTTTTTTTAAACAAATATAGGTAAAAAAAGAATGAATAGAGATGTCGGTAGGGGCCGCCCTAGACGGACATATGTCGACCAAATAGGCGACGTGCTGAAGAAGGGCCAAATTAAAAGTACCCGTAACCGGCGAGCGTGTATGAAAAGATTGATGAATGTGGAAGAAGCGAAAGAGGTTTGTTTGAATCGAAGCATTTGGCGTTCCATTGTTTCTGCCTACCCTAATGGCGTTGAGTCTCCCATAACACGACACGTTCAGCTGTCAAGTTAGTGGAGGAAAATGACCATTATCACTGATCAAACACTGTTTCGAAATCACAATAAACAAATCCGAAATATCAATATGATCATATATATTCTTTCATTATTTTATCAGCCCGCCAAAAACTTTACAATTTTCAATACAGACATTGACATTTATGCAATTAGCTAATACATTCTGAATGGTGCTGTTCATATGGTGACGTAAACACATTGTTTGTTAATAAATGTAGATAAAGCACTCGAGTTTGCCAGTGATATGGCATTCTAACAATGCAATTGCTTAATCTCTTAATGACATTGTATTGCAGTATTAAATTCTTTTTGCCTCACCGTCAAAGAAAGAATTGTTTCATTTGGTTAACTGATAGATTATATTCTAACCTATAGGATACTTCATTATATACTAATTCGCGCAAACGAAGCCACGGGATACTGTTAGTTATTTATAAAGCATATTTTTTCTGGAATAATATAAAATAAAGACAAATTTCTTTTATTCAAGTAAACGTCGTTATAAGCATTTTTGAATATTAATTTTTTATGAATCTACCGCCCAGTTCGGAATATAATTTCAGCTGAGAAGTACGGGCATAAAACTCAGCTGTTACTGTTTTAAAATAAAAAATTAATTAACAATAAAACTATATGTGGGTGAATATAATGACTATCACAAACTTCATATAGATAAAAACAACAATTCATCGCAGTATTCTTGAACAGATCGGGCGCTACAAGAAGCCCGCCATCATTTTGTTCAACCACCACCATACTGCATATTCGAATATTATTCTAAATTAAACCGAATATTCCAATATCACAAGTCATCGAATATGTGTAAACCCTAGCGGTATCCGAGTTGAGAATTAATGAGCACGAGAGGTCTTACGAATATGTTTTTTTTACAACACAGGGGGCAAACGAGCATGCGGCTCACCTGATGGTAAGTGACTACCGCCGCCCATGGTCACCCACAACACCTACGGCATTGCAGGTGTGCTGCCGGCCTTTTAAAAAGGAATATGCTCTTTTCTTGAAGGTTATGTTGTCGTATCGGTTCGGAAATACTGCTGCTGGAAGTTGATTCCAAAGATTTGGAATTTTGGATTACAATTTCGTGGTCATTACAGTTTGGACTTTGAGAATTTACGTTACGACCAATAGTCGAGTTGTGTCTCTGGCATATCGTGGGTAAATTCCGGGCAGTTTGCGACCGTCCTAAATACAAGTTATAAACAGTTCGCACACTCGTATAGTCTAGTACTTATTACTGCTGCGGCATTAAGGGGGTTAAGGTTTGGACAATATAAAGTGTTATAAATGGTTATACACAAGCAGTAAGAAATGGTAAAAGACAATTTAAAATTGTGTTCCAAAAAAAAAAGAGTACAATTGTGTCAAAACCAGTTACTTCAATTTCAAAACGAAACTACTGAAACGATTTAAATAAAATTTCTGTGCGACCAATCTGTATTTCAGTTAAAAAAAAATCCAAATCGGTTTATAACAAAATAAATACAACCGAGTAAAGAACTTTTTTTTTAATAGATTTAAAAAAAGCATAGCATGTGCATGGTTCGTATGATTGTACACGATTACAGTAGAATACGAACGGCTGCAATATCAGAAGTGACACGTGCATGCCGCAGACTCTTAAGAAACCTTATTATGTCTTTTTTGAAAACACTATCTACTGTAGGGAAAATTTCAACAGGAAGCTTCTCCTGTGATACACAGATCAGACACCTAGATCATGGAATGCCATTAAAAAAATCCTTTAAACTGCGCGTAACCATGTAGGTACTACGATGTGAGGATGAATTCTTTATTGATGATGAGCGGTGCAATAATAAATGGTAGCTAGGGGCATTATATCAAACAATTTATCAGGACACAATCCGTTATACAGACAGGAGAATAAAGAAACAAAACACATTACTCAGCACAAAGTCGGAGGCTATTACAGAGAGAAAGAATCTTATGGTAAGATGATCTGGTTCGCACTCTAAACACTCTTTAAATAATAATCATTGGGAAATATTAAAATAGTAACCAATATTATAAATATATAACGACTTAAACAATGACTATGAAGTTTAAAGTACACACGTACTAATCAATCATTTATTTGCATAAACATATGTACAGTTATAAATTTGATGTTGTCTAATGTGTAAAGCGCCATGTTTTACCGTCATTGAGCATACAAATATTATTATTACACGGTAAATTATAATTTTTAATAGTAATAATCACAATAATAAATAATAATAAACTATATG